TGGAACTATGTAGACCAGGCTGGCCTTGAACTCACAAAGATCTGCCTGCCTCTACCTCCTGAGTTCTAGGCCTCAAAGGCATGCACTACCACGCCTGGCAAAAAAAAAAAAAAAAAAAAAAAAAAAACTTTTTAAGGAGGAGAAGCAAAATATCTTTCCTAATTATCTTCTTTAATCCACCTCTACATTGGCCTTCACACCACCTACAATACTGATTCTCCTACTTAGCCAGTTTGGTAAGAGAGCAGATTAAAAGGTTAGGATCAAGTGGATATACCTTTGAAGGAATCCATATAAAGTTAATATAGTTATGAATTAGGGAAGTATCAATTCTGTTTTACCATACTGAAACAGTCCTATGGCCTTCTAGTGCAAAACTTGAGTTGTAAGAGAATATGCTAATCCCTTTCAGTTCTCTGGAGAGTACAGTTTAATTAGATGCTGTACTTCTGTTGGATAACCAGTGATGGGACAGGTTTGATGACTCCTCACATAATTAAACACACAGCGGTAACAAAACACATAACCAGAGGTGGCAAGAACAGTATCATTTACCCTCATTTTACGACACAGTGGGCAGACAGTCTTCATTTTGGGTAAGAGTGGAGAATCAGAGTTGTAGTCCAGGTGTATAGGTGGAGGTGGAGTAGGCAAGGCAGTCAGTGACTTGATGGTTTCTTGGTTTTCAGATGAGTACCACCAGTCAAGGAACTGCAGGAAGAATACACCCACAGAAAGGCCAGTGGAGAGGGATAAGGCCACACCTCCCACAGCTTTCTTCAGAGCTGACTTTATCTTCTCACTAACACTGTTGGGAAAAGAGAACAAGGGTGTAAAGAGAATTTATTTGGGTATAATCACAGAATGACTAATGTGGTTCCATGCTTCATCAGGAAAAAAAAAAAAAAGATTTTAGGAAATGTTAAGGCCTTACCTTCTGACTGGTTGCTGCATCACATTGGCTTCAGCCAGTCGATGCTCCATAGCTTGGATATCCTGAACTGTCAGTCGACCTAGCCGAACTCCAGCCAGCTTCAGCAGGGGAGAGTGATGCTGAGCTTTTCCTAGGATGTATCGAAGTTGTTGTACAAGAAACCAGCCTTCCCAGGCCATGTTAACAAAAGGGTAGGCTGCCAGAAAGGCTCTGTAAAATCGTTTCCACTGAGAAGAAGGGGGGTGAATAGAATATTCATCCTCTTCTCTCAAGCTAGAAACCAGCTTCTCTAGCTTCACTTTCAGATAGGGAAGAAGAACGAGAAATAGAACTGATTTCCAAAGTTGCTTCTTGGGGAGACCCTCACTGGCCAATGTCTGAAGCTTCTCAGAATTCCCCATTACAATCCGCTTTAAGCCATAAAAGTTTTCAGAAAATGAGGCACTAGTTTTAGACAGATAGTGCTGCTGAAGCAGAAGATCCAACAGAGTAAAGATCTCATCAAACCACCTCCAAAAGAAGCCATAGTGCGCAGGATTTGATTCTGCAAGGACCTAAAGCAAATAAAGGAAATTCATTTAAGTCTCAACCTTTATTCACGTTTTCTTTTTTCTTCTAAATTCAACACACTTAAGTAACACCTTTTTTTTGCTTTCTATCCTAAGCTCCCTGAGGTCCTAGGAATTGAGTAGAGGGCTCTATGGACTGAATATCCACTAAGCCATGGGATATGAATAATACACAAATTGCTTGTCTCAAACCTTGGGTTGGTTATCAAGTAGAATTACTGATTTGGTTTAGGTTTTACCCAGTCGTCCCTGAAATCTTTCCGAGAAATAACACCTTACCTTGACCACATGCTGAAGAGCAGGTCTCACTGCTGTCATTAAACTGTCCTGTGCTACCACCTCAAAGATAGACGGCTGGTCGTCTGCCACAGCAGCTGTGGTGATGTGAGCCCCGTGCTCAGCCATAGTGACCTGTGTTTACTGGGTTTTATTTTTCACACAGATTCTCTAATAAACATGAGCTTTTGGGGGTATCAAATGGGTGCTTGAACCTTAAATCTTTCTCTATGGCACCCGAAATTTCAAACTCAACTTTACTCGTGTGGAATTCAACTGGGGCAAATAAGAGAACTGGAGGTGGTGGAGGGGTCTCCAGGTTACGGACTAAGCTCCGGTGGGGGAAGGGACGTGTGGGGGTGGGCAGTGACTTGTCAAACGCTGCGTGACTCGGGCACACGTGCGCGAAGGGAACCTGAACTCTGGAGCTGCAGTCCGAAGCTACGAACCACCATCCACCGCCAGCAGCGGGCCCGGGGAGCGCAGGCAGTGGGGCGCGGCACTCCCCGCCGGTCCGTCCTTGCTCGCTGCCCCGGCGCGCCGACGACAGTGACGCCGCCGGCGAGCGAGGCCTCGCTTTGTGACTGGCCGCACCCGAAAACAGACGCCGGGAGATCTGGGACACGGCGGGCGGAAGACGGGCGCTTTAGCATCGCGCGCGGCCCAGAGCCAGAACTAGGAACTCTAAGACCCAGCGGGACTTCCGCTTCCTCCCATGACGTAAGCAAGGAGGTGGGGAACGGTATGGTGAATGTTATTCAGTTCCAGTTCCGCTCCTGGCGCTGCAGCCTTGTTGGGAAGCCACCTTCGCTTCTCTTTGTGAAGACTTCTAGCACACCGCCTAGGGCGCCGGATCTGGGCCCGTTCCCCGTTCCCGCGGGCGACCGAGCTGGGGCGGAGGGAGACAGATGGAAGGAGACACACCCAGCGGGGTCAGAGCTTAGCTCCACTCCCACCGTCCGAGGATTTGAAGCGCTAGCGCAAGACGCGGAAGCTTTAGCTTTTATTATTGCCGAGTATTAGTTTTACTAAATGAAAAAGATTCTTGTCCATCAGAACTTAGGACTGTTTTCATCCAGGCTCGTGGCTTAACTTGTCTTCCACATGTTAAATTGGAACATGTTAAATTGGCATCAAGGGCCAAGCCTAGTCATCAGGTTATGAGGTCTTAAAAGTATAATAAATATGTTACATAGTACAGTATAGTGTGTAAATAAGTGCTCAGTAAGTACTAGTTTGATTATAATGGTTTAAGTAATCATTCTAAGACTTAAATGGTCTGTCACACACGGAGCCTTTGATTTTTTTTTTTTTTTTGGCTTATTGAAGCAGGGTCTCCCTGTAGCCCCAGCTGTCCTGGAACTCACTATATAGACCAGGCTGGCCTTGAACTCAGAGATCCGCCTGCCTCTGCCTCCCAAGTGCTGGGACTACAGGCGTGCGCCACCATGCCCGGCCTGATAGGCTTTTTTTTTTTTTTTTTTTTAAATGTTTTATTATTTTTATTTTATGTATATGAGTGTTAGGCCTGCATGTAGGTAAGCGTACCTGTGCCGTGCAATGCCCGTGGAGGACAAGAAGAGGCTGTTGGATCCCCTGGAACTAGAGTTACGGACAGTTGTTAGCTGCTTGTTAGCTGCCATATGGATGCTGGGATTCGAACCTGGGTCTTCTGCAAGACCAGTCAATGTTCTTAACCGATGAGCCATCTCTCCAGCCCCCATAGGCTGATGTTTTGTTGAAACAGGGTCTCACTATGTGGCCCTGGCTGGCCTCAAACTGGCAATGTAGACCAAGCTGGCCTTTAACTCCCAGAGATCTGCCTGCCTCTACCTCCTGAGTGCTGGAAAAGATGTGTGCCACCACACCTGGAAGGAACCATGATTTTTTTTTGGGGGGGGGGCGTCTTTTTGAGACAGGGTCTCCCTATAGCCCCAGCTGTCCTGGAACTCACTATGTAGACCAGGCTGGCCTTGAACTCACTGAGATCTGCCTGTCTCTGCCGCCCAAGTGCTGTGATTAAAGGTGTGCCCCACCACGCCTGGCTAGGAACCATGATTTTTAAGAGTTGGATCTCTAGTACAATTCCTGAGACACAGTAGCCCTTTATACATGTTTAATTAATAATGGAGTAAGAGAAGCCAGAAATAAGCTTGGCAGAAGAACCTGGGAGGTTCACAAACACAAGTTCAAAAAAGATGAAGCACTTAGGAAGCAGAGACAGAAAAATTCCATAGCCAGACACTGTCTTAAAAAATGCTGGGGGCAGGGGTCGTGGAGAGATGGCTCAGCAGTTAACAGCACTGGCTGCTCTGCAAAAGACCCGGGTTTGAATTCCAGCACCCATAAGGCAGCTACCAACCATCGGTAACTCCATTTCCACAGGATCCAACACCCTCTTCTGACCTCCATGGGCATTGCACTACATGGATGCACTTAGACTTATGCAGGCAAAACACTCATACACATAAAATATAATGCTGGACATGGTAGCCAGTACTTACAATCCCAGCCAGGTTGATGGCCACAAGTTTCAGGTCAGCCTGGACTCAGCGTGAGACCCCGTCTGAAACCAACCAACCAACCAAAACCCAACAAACGAAACAGAAAAATAGTTTTTGGTATGTTTTTACAATAATTTAAAATATTCATTTTTCTTTAAAATATATAGTCCTTAGACAAAATTGGAAAGTGCAAAAATAGAAAATAATGACTTTGTAATTTAGCACCCAACAGAACCAGTAGTAGGCGTATCATTCAGTTTTGTCCCCTTTCCTTTATTTCAACACATTTTTCTATATCATACTTTCTTTAGAAATATGATTTGAGAGCCGGGCATGGGCATGGTGGTGCACGCTTTTAGTCCCAGCACATCAGAGGCAGGAGGATGTCTGTGAGTTCAAGGCTAGCCTGGTCTACATATTGGGTTCCAGGCCAGCTGGGGCTACAGGAAGACCCTTGTCTCAAAAAAAAAAAAAAAAAAAAGAAAGAAAAGAAAGGAATATAATTTGAAAAACATTTTTTCAGTCATAGAAATTAGTGCCTGTTAACTGTCAAACACAAGGTACAAAAAATATGAAGGAACCATTTAGCAATTCACCACTTTTAGGTTCTGCTGAATGTTCTTTCTAGCCTTTATTTATACATATGCAGCCATATTCTGTGTGCATACATAATACATTGATTTTTACCTTTTTAATTTTTAAAGCTTTAAATTTATTTTAATGTATATGAATGTTATACCTGCATGTAAATACACCTGTGGATGAAATGCCCACGGAAGCCAGAAGAGTGCACTGGATCCCCTAGAACTGGAGTTAAGGACAGGTGTTAGCTGTCATGTGGGTGGTGGGAACTGAACCCAAGTCCTCTGCAAGAGCAGCCAGTGCTCTTAAACACTGAGCCATCTCTCCAGTACCTTATCTTTACTTTTGGTACTTGGAATTGAACCTACAGCCTCATGCGTGCTAGGAGCTACATGTGAGCTACAGCCCCAGCCCCTTTGGTCTAGAATTCATCTGTAGCCCAAAGCAGGCTTTTTTTTTTTTTTTTTTTTTTTTTTGAGACAGGGTCTCCCTGTAGCCCCAGCTGTCCTGGAACTCACTATGCAGACCAGGCTGGCCTCGAACTCACAAAGATCTGCCTGCCTCTGCCTCCCAAGTGCTGGGATCAAAGGCGAGCGCCGCCATGCCCGGCCCAAGCAGGGCTTTTAAGTTTGATCCTCTTGCTTCACCCTCCAGAGTAGTTTTGATTACAGGCTTGTGCCCATGCCAAGTTCTATATATACTTAAGCCCATGCCAAGTTCTATATATTCTTATTTTTTTTTTTTTTTACTGTGACTTTACTTGCATGATAAAATACTCTACGTTACGCAGCTAACCACCATATATATGTATATATTATATTCTTTCATTTTATACTGTTTTCTAACTTCTATTTTAATAGAGAAAATGTCAAATAAACTTTACATATTTCATTGAGACTAAAGGTTTAAAACCTTTTTTTCTCCTTTTTTTGGTCATTTTTGATACAGGGTCTCCCTGTAGCCCCAGCTGTCCTAGAACTCGCTATACAGACCAGGCTGGCCTTGAACTTACAGAGATCCACCTGCCTCTACCTCCCGAGTGCTGGGATTAAAGGCGTGCGCTACCACGCCCGGCTCTTTTCTCCTTTTTTTAAGATAGGGTCTTCCAAGTAGCCCCAGCAGCCCTGGAACTCACTATGAAAACCAGGCTGGCCTCAAACTCTGCTGGGAATAAAGGCATGCGGCACCACACCCAACAACAACACACAGACTTTTTCTGTTCTAAATTTGATGGGTAAAAATGTGATAGGAAAAATCCACCCCATGCTCCAAGTCATAGAATCAAGGTTTTTGTTTCCTAAAGAAATTTGTGTAAGCTATTTTATCTACCTTCTGCCATTTAAGCTTCAACAAGACTAAAGCGGCTGCGTTAATTGTGCCAGTCATATTCAGAGCAGGGATTCAAACTCAGATCTGAAGGCGTCACAGCTGCTTCTCTTTGCACCCCTGACCCCTAGTCCCCTAGTTCTTGTATAGTCATGGCTCTACCACCTCTACGGGCTTCTGAAGCCGGGTGAGGTCTCTTAAGTTTAAGAAAACGGGGTCTCCCAGGTTTTTCCAAAATTCTTGTACGAGGAAATCAATCCAGAGACTGTCGGCCTATTTAGCATATCTCGTGGGATGGCCATTGGCGGTCTCCAGGTCTCTAGGCCTGGTCCTGCCCAGGCAAACCTGTCGCCGAGGCGACAAATAGAGAGACCAGTTATTAGGATCTCCCGCGCAGCCGGATGACGTCACGCGGCGAGGTTCTCTTACGCGGAGGTTTCCGGCCCACCATCTTTGTCCCTGGCAAGTTGGGTTTTGCGCAGTAGCTTAGACCTAGAGTCGTGACGGGCAGGAAACCATTACACCACCTCCCCGGCTGTGCTCTGTCTGCCGCCGCCACCCCGCCCTTGCCTCCAGTGAGTTCCCGGCGGCTGGCCTCGGGATACGGTGGGGTGGGAGCGAAACCGCAGGGCGGGTCGCCGGCGCGGGAGGAAAGGAGAGTTCGGGAGGTAGCACGACGATTGAGGAGGGAAGGAGTCCTCCGCGTGACCGTTGTGAGGGAGACGGTGGGAGGAAGTGCCCACTCCGGGGTGGCGCTGGGTTGGGCGGGGGCGGCCGCGGGGAGTCCGGGCTTCGCGTCGGGAAGCGGGGTTTCGGTGACCCGGTCGGGCGGGGCCGAGGCAGGGGTGTGGCCCCTGGGGGCCGGGCGGAGAACCGGCCTACTTCCCGGTGGGCGTCGTTCCGTGAGAGACGGGGACGCGTCGGTAGGCCAAAGGGAGTGGGAGTCCCCCAACGGTTTGTCCATGGAAGCCTCTCTTCTCCGGCAATTGGAGGCTTAGAGGCATCTCTCCCCAACTAGTAAAGAATGAAAGGGTCTCGGCCTCTTGGGAAGGGAGGAAAAACCCGAATAATTTGCCAGTGGAAGCAAATCTTAGCCTGAATTGGTTTGTTTACTTGTTTACTTCTCCCCGGGGTTAGCTGCAGTCTGGTTTCAGGGAGACTGTAAATTTCATTAAAAGTGAGAATTTCCTATTTCCTTGTTCTTTGAATTTAGAGAATGTGTTGGCTTTCAGAGCAGTCCTCCAAGTAGAGGTAGGCTCTTACTAAATTCAGTTGGCCGCTTCATTTTGAAGCAATGTAAATGTGTCATGGGATGCTTCATTAAATTTTTTTGCTTTTGGAATGGGAAATGTTTTTTAAATTGCCAAACACTTTTGCACCCATTGTGGTTTAAAAGAAAACACAGTAAGCTAGCTCAGAAGGATGTCTAAGAAGGAAGGTGGGCTTGGTGAGGAACAATTTAAATTATTAATTACCTTCTCTGTGTAGTTCTATTGCTTAGCCTCAGGGTACACTTACAGAGTAATAATAGAAAGCAGCAGATGTAGGAGATGCAGCTGTGCAAGAAGCCGTGTAACACATTCCAGTGATGACTAAGTGAGGTGGTAAGGCGAGAACTGCTTGCAGGTGTCTTAGCTGTCCAGACGCACTAAGAAACAAAGGCTAGTGTGTGTTCTCAAAGAGTTTTCCTGAAAGTTGAGTGGTAAAATGATTGTAAAGCAAACATTTTGGTAAATTAAGGACTCAAAGAGGTTCACTTTTTACAGCCTTTTCCTTTGTAAGGATAATTATTTTAAATTATTTAAATTGTTTTAAGGCACAAATTTTAACCAAGTTAGGCTAGGAATATTCAGAGAGGACATGGTCTTTTCTTTTTTTTTTCTTTCCTCCCAGGCTTGTTTCCCAAAATGTTTTGACATTTCATTAACAGTTGGGTGAAACTATTGAGCTTCTTTCTTTATAATACTGTATTAACAAATTAATTTGTAGTTATTTAAGTAGAAATCAGAAGTGATTTTAGCTTTTAAATATTTTGTAATTTCTGATAAGCTAAGTAACCTAAGATGCCATTGTCCCTGTATTACTGAGTATCTGGCTAAATATCATCTTTACACCTCAGCAGTTGTAATCAAAGGTTGCTGGAATGACTCTTCTGCTTTGCAGTTTAACTTCGGCTAGTTACTGACTTTATGTGCAAAGAAGGGCATAGTGGCCTTACCGACTCTAATGTTAGCTGTCATTTCCCAGAGAGCCATTTGAAATTAAGACCTTATTAAATTTCTTCTGACCTTATTCTACCCAGACTATTAATCTTATTTTGCTGTTGAGTTTTTCATTTGGGGGAACTGGAGGAAGAGAAGGATGGAAAGAGAGGAGGGACTTTTGCAAACTATATTTGTCAGAAACCAGGTTATGTTAAATCTAGACAGATAATTTTGTGCAGGGAAGCTGTCTCTGAAAGGCAGACACACTGTAACCTAGGACAAAAAAGAGTGATTATGGGCACTATGGCAGCTTTTTTCTTTAACAGTGTCCTTAGGCCATACTAAAGTCAGTCAGTGACTTGTCAAGTTTGGGTTTGATGTACAAAATCTCAAATTCCATTGTGAATTGCTTATTTCTAGGGATAGCCTGAGAAACAAAAATTCCCCCCCAGTAGGATTTTGAATTTTGAGGTACTGCAAAAAATTGTTTTTCTCCAGCCCCATCCTGGCTATTTTTCCTGTGGCTTCTTATCCATTATCAGTTTTACTATCCTATAGCTGGTGAATATGCCTATGTTTGTATCTGGCAAGTGTTTGGAGTTATTTCTTTGAAAATATAGGTGTATGTAGTTATTGTGAGGTAAAAGTCAGAATGACATGGTTTTGCCACCACCACCTTTTCTCATGTTTTATTTTCATTAAAAATTTAATATTCGTATATGTATGTAATATGTTTGTATCTAATTCACCCCCCTCCCCATTCGACTCATTTGTTTAGACTTCATTTTTCTTGGACTTTCATTTGGCTGAAGGCAAGGATAGTGTCAGTTAAGTCAGTGATATATTTACCTGGTTATTTTTCTTTAGCTGATTTTTCTTTTGGCATTGGAGAGGTCTTGTGCCTACTATGTAAGCTGTAGCTTACTGTAGCTGGGTGTGGTGCACCACATGCCTGTAATTCAGTTCTAAGGAAAGGAAACAGAGATTGGAGAATCACCAGAAGGTGTGAGGCCAGCCTGATCTACATAGTGAGTTCCAGGCCTGCCAGGGCTACATAGTGAGACTTTGTGTCAAATAATAATAGTAATAATTTTATGCATGTGTATAGATATGAGAGCTTTAAATCTTCAATTTTAAGTTTTTATTCCATGGGATTTAAAACAGTGTAATAACATTCTATACAAACGGAAAAGGCTTTGAGCCATAGCGCTGCTGTCAGGCTCTCCTAGTCATTTCTGTATGTCAGGTTTTCCTGTTAGTATATGTAAGCTCACAGGTTAAGACTTATTTCAAGTCGTTTTATGTGAAGAATTCATAGCTGGATATGGTGGCATAAACCTGTAATCCCAGCACTTAGGAGTTAGAGGCAGGATCAGAAGTTAAAGGTTACCTTCAGCTATGTGGCAGGTTTAAGGCCAACTTGTACCACATGAGATCCCCCTTGTTAAAAAAAAAAAAAAAAAAAAAAAAAAAAAGCCCTGTGTGTTGGCCCATATGTAATCCCAGGGCTTCATAGGGAGATGGCTGTCTCAAAAAAACAACAGTGGGGCCTAGAGGAATGGCTCAGTGATTAAGAGCTCTTGCTGCTCTTGCAGAGGACATGAGTTCAGTTCCCAGCACCCACATTAGGCAGCTGACAGTCATCTGTAACTCTAGCTCCAGGTGATCCAACAGCCTCTTCAGACATAATTAATAAAAAAGAACCTTAAAACATTCTTTCATTTGTTTATTTACATTTGTGAATAGATTAATTGATTATAGCATTCCTTGAATTTTTGCTAGAAAGACATGAAAACATTAAGGTAAGCTTCTATTATAACAAATATCAGAACAGAAACTTCTGTATATTAAATGATATTTGTGGTTTCAAGCTCATTTCTCATTTCTCTTTTTTAAATAAATAATTTGAGAATTTCATACATGGATATAAGGTGTTTTGATCAAATCCATGCCCACTCCCTCCCCTCCAACTCTTCCCATATCTCCACATCACTTTTTTCTGATAATTTCATGTACTCTTTCTTCTTTGATTTATTTTTTCATGGGGCTTTTGGCTACTCTAACATTCCCTCCCCCCCGAAGAGGTAACCCTAAAACCTTTTAAAGATTTGATTAAAGCTCCCAAATATTTTTGATCCAAGAGGCCCAGGAACATTTTGACTTTTGCCAAGAAACTGGCTACTTTTCATTGGAGTCTTTTTACAGTACCCAATTCCTACCTTCTATTCTTATCACATAATTCTCTGAAGAGGTTACCCAGCTTGCAGATAGGGAATCAGGACACAGACAGCTCTGGCTTCTTCCATGCCAAACAGGGACACAGGGTGAGGCAATTCAGGTACCCCTTTAGTGGGTCTATCTAAAAGATTCCCAAATTGCATAACTCTTATCTGTAGGGGGTAAAGAAAGTCTTTGACTGATGAATAGGAGGTGTGAAGGAGAAGTAAAGGCAAGAGTAATTAACATTACAAGTTCTAGACAGGGAACTAGAAAAAAGTCAGAGTCGGTTTTCAAATGTTCATATGAGAGTCCATTGGAATTTCCAAGGGCTTCCAAAAGCATAGCATCCCTCTATTGGGTTCCTCCTCATTTTTCTTTTGTCTTCCAAGGCTGGGCTCTATAGAGTGATAGATTCAGGATTTACTTTGAGGTATTTTGATAGCTGTTGGAGTGGTTAGAATCAGTGTCAGTTCCCTCTCAAAGGCTTCTAGATAGGGGGAGAAAACAAATTTATCCATCATCTTAGAATAATAGCTGGTTGTCTCCCTTAGGTACAGGTGGGCACTACAGTATTGGAGACCAAGATTGGAAGTCTTACATCTGAGCAGCACTTTCTGTTTAGGAACAAAATCATCAATAGAAATAATTGTCTAAATAACTTTTTATATAGACATAAGCCTAATGTCTTGGAAGTGTAATCCCTTGAACTCTTAAAGAAATATACTGATGGCTTTACTCTTTAGTTATACTTTCCTTTTGGGTGTTTAAGATCATATAGTTGGTCCAAATAAATCAATTTATTTTTACACTTAAGGTCATTTGAGGATCTGTTCCTCAAGGTTACGTGGGCTTGGGAGGCGCTCCTGGCTCCTTTCTTTACCAGTTCCACCTATGTGAAGATAAGTCTAAGGTCCTGCTCGACCATGTCTGGCTTCACTTGGAAGCATGAATGAGATATTTCCTCTGAGTTGACCCTCCTCTTTGTAGACAGGACACTGGTTCAAGTCCATCTGGTGGGGTCTCCATGTCCTCCCTGAACAAGAGGACGGGTGACTCACCACAGTTACAGGACATTTTAAGAGATGTTCCATAGTCCCCTGGAACTTAGTCAACCTTGGAGGTCAAGGGGCAAAAACTGTCCTTTAAGTCCCTCTGACAACATTAGTACAGGCCTCAAACTATGGCTCTTAAACATCCAATAAAGGTAGTTCCACCAGTCTGGTACTTTTAATTATTATGTGCTATGTAGATAAGGCTTGGGTTAAACCAAATATTCTCAGATAAACTTTGGTAGACATTTCTCTCATTCCTTTTTTGCTTTTGTTTTTGAGACAGGGGCTCGGGTAGCCCGGGCTCACCTGAAACTCATTGTGTAGGTGGAGATGACCTGGAACTCTGATCTTCCTGCTTCTACCTCCCAAGTGCTGGGATTAAGGCAGGCTTGTCATCTTTCTGAAAGATACTTCTTTTATTGAAAGTTGCAAGTCTCTGGGGTTGGTGGCACAAGCCTTTAATGCCAGTACTCAGGACGCAGAGGCAGGCAAATCTCTGAGAGTTCAAGGCCAGCCTGGTCTACATAGGGAGTTCCAGGCGTACCAGTGTTGCCATAGTATGATCCTGTCTCAAAAAACCACCAGTCAAAAAAAGGAAAGCTGTAAGCAGCATTGAATAGAGTGACAATTTTCTCCTTTAAACTTAGACTGCTTTGGATATATGCTTTCAGGTGACCCCATTCCGAGGCAGGAAAGAAACCAAATTTTCTTGAATAGAAAGATGTAGAGAAATCTCTCAAATTAAGCCTTTTTCTTAAAAATTTGAGTGACTGAAGATGTATTTACAGAGAGGTCCAGCTTGTTATTGCAGGCTACAGAGCCAAACAAGGTTCAGATTATTACTCCATTCCATTTGACCTCTAGACTTTGCCCCTAGACACACCTTGAGGCAAGTTACAGTTTATTTTGTGTTTCTTGAACCATCGGTGGTGGGAAGGAAATACCAACTCATTGTTTTTAAAAGCAGAAATTCTTAAATATAAATGTTCTTAAAATCAGTTGGATGTTCCTAAATTGAATGAAATGTTTTACTGTCTATATATAATTTGGATAAAATACTCTTTACTCTTACTGTAGGTGCACATTGAAGATCCAAAATCATGACTGACTCCAAGTACTTCACAACCAATAAAAAGGGTAAGCAGGAGAACCTTGTCAAAGCTTGGGAATGTTCTAAGTTGCCACAAGTAGAATGTGCTGATGTTTTTACACATCATATGTTTGTAGGCAGTCTGACTGAGAATCTTTGAGAAAGAGGTTTTTTTTTTTTTTTTGGTCTTTTTGAAACAGGGACTTCCTGTAGCCCCGGCTGACCTGAAACTCACTGTGTAGACCAGGCTGACCTTGAACTCACAGAGCACAGAGACCCACCTGCCTCTGTCTCCTGAGTCTTGGGATGCCTGGCTTATTTAAGTTATTAAAGTATAGGGATTTTATATGCTTGTTGTATACTGCTGGAGACTAACTCAGGGCCTTGCACATGCTAAGTGGGTACTCTGCACCAAGCTTCATCTCCAGCTCTTGAATCTATTACCTTTATTACATTTGTGATCAGTAATATAATTTTGGTTTTTACATGTGAGTGTGAGCCTAGAAACTAAGGAGCCTTGGGAAAGTCTAACCCCCCCCGAATTGTTTCTAAATAGGTAATTTCTAGAGCTTTCTTCAAAGACTAATGTCATTGTCCACAGCTTACTGTGCCCTTAGCAGAGCTTGTTTTATTTTCTTCTTGGGATCAGAATGCTATGCTTTTGTATTCAGTGAGCCTTGAATTTGCTGAAGTATTCTGGGCATGAGACCAACTACTATTCATTTTTTCTTCTTGTTTTTCAGTGACTTGACTTGCTTCTCAGATGTGTTTTCTTTTCCCCAGTGGCTGAAATACAACAACTTTTCTGGTGTAAAACTTGTCTTTCTTTATTTCCCTCATAGTATTTTCTGGTGTGGTTGTCTCCAGGCTTAGCTGAGTTTGCAGGCCATTAGAGTCCAATGTTCAGATATTCAGTGTATTTATTGAGTGTGTACTATGTACATTTTGCTTAATACCCTAACACTAATGGAATTTCTAATTTTAAGTATCCTAATTTTCACTAAGTCAGAGTAGGTCCTCACAGAGGATACCTGGTACTCAATCTTGGTTTGTAAATATACTTTTCACTAAAAGGAACCAGGACTCTTTGGGCAAATAACTGATTCCAAGACTGTATTGCAAGTTGAGTGAACATCTTTTTTTAAAAAAATATTTTTATTTTATGTTGTGAGTGTATTACCTGCATGTGTGTTAAGTGTACCTGTGTTGTGCAGTGTCCACAGAGGTCAGAAGACATCAGATCCCCTGGAACTGGAGTTACAGATGGTTGTTAGCTGCCATATGGGTGCTGGGAATTAAACCCGGATCCTCTGCAAGAGCACCCAGTGCTCTTTACCACTGAGCTATCGCTCCAGCACCAAATGTGAACATTTTCTAAGTGAGGAAGTGCTCAGAAAATGATGGGACATCAAGGAGCCACACTTTGAGGGACTTACACTGGCCAAATTTGGATGATATGAGTAACAAAAAAACAAAGTGATTATAGTAATGGATTAAACCCATTGGATAAAATCAGTACATTTGTGACAATATTAGGCTAAATTGTAGTTTAGGCAGGTGTCATCAGTGAATGCTAACACTGAGAGGCAGGAAGTTTGATGAGGAACAGGATATTTATATTGTTTCAGAGTATCTTTTCATAGATAACTAACCTCAAAGGGAGAAATATTAATTTTACAGTATCAAAATCTGGCATTTAGAACCATAACCATATATTCATTGTTTTCTTCACCAATAATGGGTCAAAGTCACAGCGTTTGCCTTTGGATATGATGTACTGAGAAGAGTATGCCATCTCTTAGGAGTTCGAATGCAAAAATTTCATAACCTTGTTAGCATGAGAGAAACACATGGCAAGCTGGAGGCACTGCACTTAAAGATGACCATGAAAATAAATTGTTTCAGATCACAGGCTAAAGAGACATGACAGGAAATGTAATGCACACTCCTAAACTGAATGCTGCCCCAGAGGTGGGCATAGGATGGGAATCAAGTTGCTATGAAAGATATTGAGACATCAGAGTCTGTAGATTAGATGATGGTGGTGATATATTAATGCTTAATCATTGTATTAAGGGGCTATAAGAAAGTTTCCTTACTCTTTTTAAAAATTTTACTTATGTGTTATGAGTGTAATGCTTGCACATATGTAAGTGCAGCCATGTCATGCAATACCTGCGGAGGTCAGAAATGGGTGTCAGATCCCCAGGAACTAGAGTTACAAATGGTTGTTAGCTGCCATGTGGGTGCTGGGACTCCAAACTGGGTCCTGCAAGAGCAGTCAGTGCTCTTAAACTCTGAACCATTGCTCCATCCCCCAATCACTGTATTAACTACCCATCCAATTTAATTAAACTATCTGCTCTTTTCCTGTTTTAATTATGAAGTTAGTTATTTTTCTGCCTACAAATATAAACACTCC